TTGGAAATCCTGTTGACCCACAGGGGATCAAGAGGCACTCCAGGTTTTGGTTTTTTTTTTTAAGATTTTTCTCCCTATAGGGTGTGTGTGCTCACTGGAGAGAGACAGAGAAAGATAGAGAAGGAAAGTGAGAAATCACCTCCCTCAGCGGTACAGCCATGACACAATTTCTTCTCCTCCATTCTCTTCTTGGGATTTTGGGCACATACACATACATACATGTGCACGCACATGCCCAGTGTGATTTTCAAGCCACTGAACCCAGAACTTGAACTGTGGTCAACCAACTAGAAGTCCAACACCATAATCACTGTGCTACCTGCTGGGCTCTAAAAAATACTGTCTTAATGCCAAATGATTGCTTCACAGTCTCTTTAATTCAGCCGTGACTCCTCAGTAGAATCACCTAGAGAGAGAAACAAAACCCTGCTGTCTTGGCCATGACCTGGACTTAATAAACAAGGACGTCTGGAGATGGTGTCCCAACACCCACCCTGTTAACATTGCCCCGGGTTATTCTACGACGAAGCCAAGGCTGAGCGCCTGCTTCCATTAGAGCTGACTGCCTTCATAAAGGAGGGCTTAGCACTGTCAGCGTTTCCACATATGTGAGCAATGAGAAGGCATGGGAGAGGGTGCGATGTTTTGAAAGAGACAGGAAAAGGTGCTGCAGGAACCAAGGGGGAATGTACTTGCAAGTCATCTGCTCAGAGGGGAGGAAGATTCTAGAATGAGAAGGTTTAGTATAAGGATGGTTCTGACCTGGGGACCCTAGCCTCTATTTCTGCTCCCTTGGTGTGGCCCTGAGAGAGCGTCCCTGGAGGGTTTCTAAGACCCGGAGGACTGTACAGGGGAAGCTCTCGAGGCTGGAGGGCTTTGGGAAAGGCACTCTCTGCTGGGGCCTTAAAAGCTTCCCTTGTAAAGTGGGCTGTAAGCAGAACTCACATGCTTTTCCCTTAGCAAGATAAATGATGTCGCTGCATAACCCTCAAATGCTGATCAGAAAAAGAAAACTCCCGAGTCCACCGTCCCAGAGAACACCATGCTGGTTGTTCTGTTTTCGCCTTCTCTTTTTTAAATTTTGCTATAGGGTGCACAGGCTTGCGGGAGAGAGACAGAGAGAAGTGGGAGATCACCGCTTAGAGGTGATGGCCACACCGTGACTCCTCCTCCTCCTCCAGGGATCTTGGGTGTACATGTACATGCGCCCTGCATTTTTTCCGAAATGTCAGGTCTGAGACTTAAACCGTGCAGTGGGATGTAGTCACCTTAACCACAATGTCGCTGGCTGGCCCTGTCTGTTTTCTTAGAAAAAAAATACACATATAAACACACATAAACATACATATATGTATATATCATATGTATATGTCCATAATGATTTCTATATAATTCTTTATGTTTAACATACTTATATTACATTTCTATTATCTATAGAAGTGTATAATTTGGGGACTCAGACCACACTCAGTCATGTGGGAGTCCAACACGTTAACTGCCACATCACTAGCTGGCCTGGAATTGTTTTTTAGACAGGTTTTTGCTATGTTGCCCAGGCCAGTCTTGAGTTCACCGTCCTCCTGCCTCAGCTTCCAAAGTTGCTAAGATCAAAGACTCATGCCAAAACTCCTGGCCTTTTCTTAAGACTGAATTGAAAGTGTAACGGTATGAGAGGAGAACAGAGGGTAGAGGGAGGGTGTGGTGGGTGGAGCCTGGACTTCAAAATCAGACATGCTTGGATTCAAACTGTCATTCTTCCAAGTGACACAAGTTGTGTCACTACTTATGTCGCTAGCTATGTGACCTCGTGCCAACTCTGCTATTATCTGTAAAATTGAAACATCAAGACTCCTCCTTTAAGTAGTCTTTTTTTTTTTTTTGGAGAGGTTTTTGCTATAGGGTGCGTGTGCTCGTCAGACAGAGAGACAGAGAGACAGAAAGCGAGAAATCACTCCCCAGGGGGGATGGCCACACCGCAGTCCCTTCTCCTCTATTCTCCTCTCAGGATCTTGGGCACGCACGCACACACGCCTGGCGTGAGTTTAAGTCACTGGGTCTGGGACTCAAACCGCGATCGACTATGTGGGAGTCCAGCAACATAGCCATCACGCTAACTGCTGGTCCCCCCTCCCCCCCTTTAAGTAGTCTTGAAGTTCAAATGAGACAGTGAGAATAATCTTATCCTCAAGCCTAAGGGCAGCTGTTGTCCTACACTCAGACAAGAGTACAGGAGGAGGTGACATCTAGTGACCCCAAAGCAGGACGGGGAACTCCCTTGACTCCATGTGCTTGACCTGAGACCATCCTTCCTTTGCCATTCTTCTGTAGCTCTGTAGCCATTCATCAAGACGGCTAGAGGACCAGCAGGTGGCAAGATGTTAATCTAGCGTGGTGCTGAATCTTACTTGGCCACTTGTGTGGTTTGAATTCCAGGCAAAGGCTTGGAAAACACCCTGGGCATATGTGTGTGTATGCCCAAAATCCTGAGAGCAGAATGGAGGAGAAGGGATTATGTCATGGCCATCCCCTCGGGGGTGTTTTCTCACTTTCTCTCTTTCTCTCTCACTCTCTCCCTCCCTCTCCAGCAAGTACACATGCCCTATAGCACAACTACAAAGAAAACAAGCTGCTAGATAATGGCCCCAGGAACTAGCCACTGGGGCCCCATGACCATGTCATCACTTTAGCACCATCGCCACCATCATCATTTTCATCCACATCACCATCATCATCCCATCACCGACACAATCACCACCACCCTCCATAACATCATCACTTTCATCCCTGTCATCCTCACCATCATCGTCACTACCATCATCAACACAGTCACCATTGCCATCCCTGTCACCACCATCATCGCCAGCAGCTAGCTGAGAGATCCGGGATAGCTCGGTCTCTCCCAGACCTATTTCTAGAAGGGATAGCCTCTGACATCACAAGTTTAATCTCGCATCTAGGTGAGCTCTGGCTGAACCACTCAGTCTCTGTGACTCAGGCTTCCCATTTGGGCCCACAGGGGAGTTAGTTTCGGTGAGACAGCAGCAGCTGATGCTGCCCTCGGCTACATCATCGCCTTCCTGGTTCTCCTATCCACACTGAAGCTCTGGCATCTGCTCAGGTTGAATCCCAAGATGAACATGATCACGGCGGCCCTACGTCGTGCCTGGGGTGACATTTCAGGCTTTATTGTCGTCATCTTTATCATGCTCCTGGCTTACTCCATTGCGGTGAGTAATGGTTTTCCTCCTTTGGGAAAACCTCAGGGCTGGTCTCCATGGCAGTCAAGGCTATTTGGTGATGGGGAGTGGATGGTTAGGGTTAGGGAGACTTGGGGAACCTAGGAGGGAGATGGTGGATCTTATGAGTCAGGGTCTGGGAACTCACGAGCCAGTCACCTCAAAAGCAGAAACGGGAGGCCTCGGCTGGGTAGGAGAGAGGTGGCACAGGCTGTATGGTGGAAAGGACCTGTCTCCCCAGTGAAAGATTTCTTCTGCATCTAGATCCTGCTGGTTGTGCCAGTTCTCCTGACATCCCAATTGGTAGGAAGATGCAGATGTGCCCAGAGCACTCTCACTGTGCCAGGGCATTGATTGGGTTGCCCCAGACTTGACCGAGGGCAGAGGGAAGGAAGTGAGGGCAGGAATGCCCACGGGTCAGGTCAATGCTTGCTGCCCTAGACGTGAACTTAGCAGGGTCAGTTCTGTTTCTCATTCAGCCTCTTCACACCACGAGCGTTTGGACGGTCACCTCTTTTGTGACTGGAAACGCCACCTCTTCCTTCCCTCCTTTAACAGATCATTAATTTTGGATGCTTTTTTCATTATCAAGTGGCGTGGAAAACAATGACCGTCTTCCACTCTGACCCCCAGCTGCATCTTGATCTCCATTCCAATTTGCACCCCCACCTGATGCCAGGTGAACCCATAACTCCTATCAGTGCCCTGGCCCCCAAGGTGAACCCATAACTCCTATCAGGACCCTGGGCCCCACCATTTTTTTTTTAGAGGTTTTTTGCTATAGGGAGCGTGCGCTTGCCAGAAAGACAGAGACAATGAGACAGAAAACGAGAAATCACCCCCCAGGGGGGGATGGCTATGCCGCAATCCCTTCTCCTCTATTCTCCTCCCTGTGTGAGTTTATGCCACCGGATCCAGGACTCGAACTGCTGCCGACTACATAGGAGTCCAGTGACATAGCCATTACACCAACTGCTGTTCCCCCCCCTTCTTAAATTTTTTTTTGATTCATTTATTTATTTCAATTTGGCCAGAGAGTGAAGGAGTGAAAGAGAAATTCATTTATTTATTTCAATTTGGTCAGAGAGGGAAGGAGTGAAAGAGAGAGAGAGCTGCCAGGCCTGGGACTCGAATCGCAGTTGGCCATGTGAGAGTCTAGCGTCCTTAACCACCACGCCACCTGCCAGCCCCAGCCCCCATCATCTTTGAACAGTCAGCCTGATCCTGACCCACTTCCCACCCTAGCCCTTCCCCATTCTCACCCTGGCCCCATCCAGTCCCTTACCTTCCAGCATTCCCTGATCAGGCACCCACAAGACCATCGTGTGTCAGCCTCCACTCCACCCCAGACCTCACTCCATTCTACTCCCGTCACTTTAACTCTTACCCCCTCTTCCATCCCTGGCCCCACTCCACTTTCCTCTCCCTTCCTTAGAAATGGGGTGGGTGCCTTGAAGGAGTGGTGGCAGATGCTGGCACTCCAGAGTCCGTGGTTTTGTTGAAAGTTCCCTGTCCAGATTCTCTCATTTGTGTGGGTTTTTCTGCCCTCTGCAGTACATGGGCCAGGGGACATTGCAGTGTTCTCTGGGACCAGAAATGACCAATCAGAGCCCAGGGGTGCTGGACCTCCCTCTGACACCATGTCACGGGAAAGGCTGTGGGGGGGGCTGTGGTGAGGGAAGATAAGATGGAGGAGGCCCTGCCCAGGCTGAAGAAACCATCGTCCATCCAACTCAGCTGCCCAGAGCAAAGAGGCAGAGCTTCAGAGCACCCCGGGCCATCACTGGGTTTCTAGGCAGCCAGCTGGTGGGTGGCGCTGAGCTCCAGCAGCACACCAGCTTGGGAGGTGCAGACAGTGCTGTCAGTAGGTGGACGACACAGCAGAGGTCCTCGACGAGTCACCTGGCAGACACTTCTAGAACACACACAACATGCACGCATGGATGCAACAAGGAATACACATGCACACTCACACGTATGACTTTACATGTACAGACCCACAGAAAGAAACACGTGCACCCCACACAGAACGCCCACCTGTCTGCTCTGTGGGTATGGACAGCTTTGCCAGGCCAGGCCAAGGAGGAGGCCGGCACAGACCACCAACTCTAAGTCAGATAGGCTTGCGGGGAGGGGCTCACGGTTTCTTTCTCTGTTCATGAAGTTTCTTTCTGTGACAGTCCAACTTAATATTTGGTTGGAAACTCCGCTCCTACAAAACCCTCTTTGACGCAGCAGAAACGATGATCAGTCTCCAGCTAGGAATCTTCAATTATGAGGAGGTAATGGGGGTGGGGGTGCTAGGACACCGCAGTTGACAGCCAGCCTTCATGAAAGGCAGAGAAGTGCTCCCACCTCCCCAACCCCCGTGTCACCTGCAGTATGTGGCCTGGCAAGCACAGGGCGACTCTGGACAAATAACGCCCCCTTCCTCTAGGCGGACAGCCCCATGCTAGAGCCCAGGGCTGGCCCCGGGCTCCCGCTTACCGAACACCAGGTGCTGGGGGTTGGTCCTAGCCAGAACTGCCAGCAGCAGGGCGGAGGTGCTGCCTTTCCTTCTCCTGCCAGCTCTTGAGAGCTTTACCCACACTGTCGGCCCCCAGGCAGGGGCCACCTCCCTGGCTCCAGGATCTGCCCAGCTCCACGACTAGTTTTCCCTCTGAGGGTGCCCAGTAAGGGGGGGGTGGCCACCAGGACAGAAGACACCCAGTGACTCTGGCTTTCTTCCTGCCAGGTCCTGGACCACAGCCCAGTGCTTGGCTCGTTCCTAATTGGGTCCTGTGTCATTTTTATGATGTTTGTGGTGCTGAATTTGTTTATCTCTGTCATCCTGGTGGCCTTCAGTGAGGAGCAAAAATACTATCAGGTGAGTGAGTCCCTTTGGCCTCTTCATCAGTCATCGACCTTGAGCTACAAAGGGCTGGCTGATGGCCATAGACCTGGGGGACCTGAGAGACCACTGTAGCTCCAAGCCTTAATGCCGCAGGCCAGGGGACAGGCCCCAAAGGACAAAGTTACTTCGGGATTACAAGCAAGAGGCGGGTGGAGCTGGGACTAGAACCAGGTCTCCTGACTCCCAATTTGGGACTCCCCACTACACTGGTGATTCTCAGCCCTGACTGCATGTCAGAATCACCAGGAAACTCCGGGAAATTACCGCTGCCCCTACCGAGACCAGTTCCAACAGGAGGAGCACGATTCTGGTGTTCCTGTTTTTTTTTTTTTTTTTTGGGAGAGATTTCGCTATAGGGCGTGTGAGCTCGCCAGACAGACAGAGAGAGACATAGAGACAGAAAGTGAGAAATCACCCCCCAGGGGGAATGGCCACGCCGCAATCCCTTCTCCTCCTGTCTCCTCTCGGGATCTTGGGCACGCACGCACATGCGCCAGCGTGAGTTTTAAGCCACCGGGTCCGGGACGCGAACCGCGGTCAACTACGTGGGAGTCCAGCGACATAGCCATTATGCTAACTGCTGGTCCCTATCCAAAAGTGTTGTTATTTTTAAAACCCCCCTGGTCGATTTCTGCGCATCCTCCATGAGGAGGAAAGAAGAGTCCACTGAGGCTGAAGGAGGGCATGCACCCTCGGGGTTCCCAGGAGGAGACCATTCCAACCCCCAAACAATTCCAACTGGTGCAGTGAACTTAGGCTGGACCCAGTTGGACAATAAAACCTGCTTTCCCCTCAGAGAGGAAAGCGCCCCAGAGGGCGCTGCGTTCATCACGGGGTTCCTCTTTTGCAGCTGTCAGAAGAAGAAGAGCTCATTGATTTGCTGCTGTTGAAAATATTCAGTTTCCTGGGTGTTAAATGCAAAAGAGAGGTTCCTCGAAGAAGCAGCAGCAGCGAGCAGCCCGAGGCGCGGCCCGAGGCCAAGTCCCCTCCACCAGCAGTGGTTTTGCCCGAGGTCTAAGCTGTTCATCCGCACATGATTGTCTGCAGGTCGCCCAAAAGCCAGAGCCCGGTCCCCTGAAACTGCCCAGAGATCTTACCTTTTCTCCAGACTGTCATTATTTGTAGAAGTCACCAAGCCCCAAAGTTCAAAAGTGAGGGTAACGTACATGCAAAAATAGCCCCATTCGTGAGTACTTGCGTGTTCAAATGTATTTCCTTCTAGAAATAAAACGTTACACAGAGCTCAGGAAACCCAATCTCCTCTACCAAATCACCGTTGCATCGTTTTTGTCCTTCAGGGGTTTCCTCTGAAGGATTCTAGTTCAAGGCTTTTCAAACTTGGTCTGAGCAATCATCAGGAAACGCTCGTGGGTGTTGTATTGTTTTTATGGCTGTGGGGACAGTGTGTCGCCAACTGGGGGTTTATGCAGCAGGTATGAATGCCTCACAGCTCTGGACAGTACAAGTCTGAGGTGTCGGCAGGGCCGGGCTCCCTCGGAGGACTCTGAAGAAGAATCTTGCACCTCTCCCAGCTTGTGCCATTTGCTGGTAAGCCTCAGTGGTCCTCGGCTTGGAGACACATCGACCCTGTCTCCACACAGGCCTTCTCCCTGTCTCTGTCTTATCTTCTCATAACATCACCAGTAATATTGGATCAAGGGCCTGCCCTTCTCCCCTATGATCTCTTAAGTAATTACACCTGCAGTGACCTTGTATGTCAGCACGGTCACCTTCAGAAGTTGACTTTGTCATAGCGCCTTAGGGGACACAATTCAATCCATAGCAGGTTGCCGGGGCCGCAATCTGGGCTGGCTAAGATGGAAGATGGATGTGTCATGAAGACCCTGTTGGGGGTCTTCTCTGTCTCTGTCTCCCTTTTTCTCATAGAAGAAATAAACGTGAACAACAGGACACACACACTGCCTGTTTCTTTGGTGGGCCGGCCTGGCCTGTGACACAGCCCCACATGGATGCGATCCTGTTCTCCCCTGATGAATTAGTGGGCAGCATGGATTGCATCATGCCACACTGGTTTGCACAAAATAGCAATTAAGGCAGAATATTGGCATTATAGAAGGCATCCGAGAGCTGGAGTTTAGCGCAGATCAGGGTGACCCAATCAACATCTCAGAGGCTGAAGCAGATCTCCCTCCCGAACTCCTCTCTGGATTGGAAACGTGCTTCCTCCTTTTGCATAAACAAGAGTGATTAACACTCCTACTGTCTTTGCTAAATATCCCAAAACTCCTTACCCTAAGATGTTCCTTCAGTCGCCACACCCCTTGCTCTGAGCCATGAGAACCTTTGAATTCCATTGTGTTTAGGTAGGGATGGAATACACCCTTAGGAATGGTAAACCTGCTTGTTTTGCTTCTGTAATTCGCTTTTGCTTTTACACTGTAAAACCCTACCCCCTACCCTTTCAAGTCCACTGCTCTTTGTTCTCATGATTGCACTGTCAACTGGAAAAGAGTGTGATTTTTGCCTTTATAAACACCCCTCACCTTGCACTTGGGGCTGCGGGGTTTTGAGAGACGAGTCCCCTCCCACATGCCGCTGGCTTAGTCAATAAAACTCCAATAAATTTGGTAGTGTCTGGATGTCCTCTTCTTTCCGAGTAGACTATAACAAGGCAAAGTACACAGAGCTCAAGAGGATTCGTTTTCCAGCTGGCCTGGACGCCTGGTCCTCCTACCACCGCACGCAGTCACTTGAGCTATCTGCCTTTCCTCTTCCTTTCTTGGACAAGTCCTGAAATGAGGGTAGTACCTACCAGAGCGGGGTGGAGGAGGATTGAAAGGTCGTGTTTGCACAGTGCCAGGCACGCAGCAAAGACTCGACAGGTGATTCAGGTCACAGCACAGATGTGCCAGCAATCCCAGGTTTATGAGTCGATGGAAGCTCAGCGCAATGACAGGGTGTCTTGTCAATTAGGCAACCTCTCCAAGGTGCCCACCCTGTGAAAGTGTGGAGCTTCAAGGGTTTTTCACATAGAGTTTCTTTGCTGACTCATGTCCTTGCCATAGTCTGTGTCAGAGGTGAAGTCTTTCCCAGAACTTCATTATTTTCTGTCTTCTTGGGCCAAGCTTTTCTTGGAAGGCCTTGGTCACCTGGCTGGCTGATTAAGCAAGGAACTGTTCCCTGGGTCTCACCTCTCTGCCTTTTGTTTTTGAATTTTGCCAGAGGGCACGTGGGCGAGCCAGGAAGACAGGACAGTGAGAATGGGAGAGAGAAATCATCCCTTTGCCATCTTGCTTTCCTTTCCAAATTGTGGTTAGGCCATGCACATGCCTGGAAAGTTTCTAAAACTGCTGGGTCAGGTACTTGAATCTCTGGGTCAAACATGAGAGAGCCGGCTGCCTTAATTAACCACGAGGCCATGGAGCCAGGTCACTTTGTCTTTTGGACATTCCTACATCCATGACTGGCTCGGATCCAGTCTCCCCCAACAGGCTGCAGTCAACCCACAGACAGGTCTTTTCCACTCTAGAAGCTTCTTGACTCTGTCCCATTTGGGGTCCCTGGAACTCTTGAGATCAGTGGAGTAATGAATTAGGTTCTGGACTGTTCACAGTATTTCTAAACGTCAGAGGAACTGCGTGTGTCAGTGCGACTCTGGCTGAAGCCCAAAACAGACCTCAGTTGGAAGGACTCTGGTTGGAGCTGGCTACGAACCAGGCCCTGGGTGACCTTGATTTTCTGTGCAAGTGCAGGACCCCACCCTCTAACGGACTGGGGCGCCTTCCTTGCCCAAGGACCCCGGGACTCAGCGGCTTGTGAGCATGCGGGCCCAACGGACTCTCCCTGCCTGGAACCCCTCCGGGCGAGGGCAGTGACCAGGTCCTCCTCACCCGCGGGGCTGCTGAGCAAGCACTTCCACCCGCTGAGAACCGGCACCCGGGGCGATGCCCGCTCCTCCCCGGAGGCCCCGCCTCGTCCTCCGGGCAACCCAGCTAAGTCCCCGCCCCTTCCGCGCGTTGCCCTATCCGAGGCTGCGTCCCGTCCCCGCACAGTGCCCAATCAGACCCTGCTCCGCCTCCTCCGCCC